AATAATAATAATAATAATAATAATAATAATAATAATAATAATAATAATAATAATAATAATAATAATAATAATAATAATAATAATAATAATAATAATAATAATAATAATAATAATAATAATAATAATAATAATAATAATAATAATAATAATAATAATAATAATAATAATAATAATAATAATAATAATAATAATAATAATAATAATAATAATAATAATAATAATAATAATAATAATAATAATAATAATAATAATAATAATAATAATAATAATAATAATAATAATAATGATAATAATAATAATCTCTGAATACACTCACAATAAATGTGTCAAGTGATTTGAAAATGGTAATAATGATAGTGGAAATGATAACAAGGTGATAATGAATATTGCTAATCATGATTACAGTGGAACGGGTAAAACTGTCCTTCTAAATGCACTCACGATGAATGTGTCAAGTGATGTTGAAGTAAAAGGTAATTAAAACTAACAAAAATTGAAAAGTATCATTTTTAATTTTTTCATTAATAGGAATTGAGTTTTATTAACTTGAAATAAATCAAATGGTATTAGAAATATTGGCAAAAATGGCCCAAAAAAAAAATCAATTGTCATTAGAGTCAATAAAATTCAATTTCCACTACTTTCCTTGATTAAATATAGCTCAAAAAGCTTTGAAAACTTGTTCAGGAAATACGATTTCAAATTCGGAAAAAAACTTTCAAACCAGTAATTCCGGAAATATTAATTCTTAATTTATCAAAGACCACAATTTTCTTGTGCTCTTTTTCAGCTCTTTCTAATTATCTATGCATGCATATCATTCATAAATAAACTACTTTCCTAATTCTTGAATTTTCGGAAAAATTTCCGAAAAATTTTTTAGAAACTGAATTTTAAACTTTAAACAATGCAACATTAAGGGAAAATATTGGTTAATGGTGAACAGTTATCGTCAACGGATATGCATCGTATATCACGGTATGTACATCAAGATGATATATTCATCGGAACTTTAACAGTGCGAGAACAACTTATGTATTCGGTATTCTTTTATCTTCATCTATTGTGATTTGTAGAAAGAGCAAATGAGATATTTGATCATATCTATTGATTTAATCCTATTATAGTACCATAACTCAAGAAATACCATATTGTATTACGATAAGATGTAATGATTAGATATATGGTAAAATGATTAATCTTTCATAAAGTTAATTTAGAGCGGTCCATCATATATCATGATTAATTTCATATAACAATTTGTTTAAAATATATTGATATCATTCATTTTAGGCTGAACTTCAAATGGGTCGTAATACAACAAAAGCTGATCGATTAAAGCGAGTGGAAGAAGTACTCAAAGAGGTCAGTTAAATTTGTTACTTAAATCAATTAAATCAGTCTTTACTATTTTAGATATGGAATTAAATAGCCTAAGAAATTGTCATGTATATGTGTTAATATTGGTGTCAATTTTACAAAAAATAAGAATTCGTAATTTCTTAAAGATTTATTAAAAAGTTAATCCTAAAGCTAATTAATCTAAAACTGATCTAGCTATGCATCATTAAATTAAATGAAATTATTTAAATAGCTATTTTAAATTGCTGCTTGCTTGTTCAAGAAACCATTGATTTGTTGATTTTTTTTTTTAATATCCAACATACCTTTTTTCCTTAGTCTAAGCTTTTTCAAGGTGCTTTTTTTTTTTTTTTTTTTGCAGCTTGGCTTAAAAAGATGTGAAACAACATTAATTGGTGTTACAAATCGACTAAAAGGTATCTCTTGTGGTGAAAGTAAACGTCTTGCATTTGCTTGTGAAGTTAGTATCATTCATTCTTGCATCAATTTAGTTCTTAATTAACCTTAATTCGAAAGCATATCATGCATAAGTAATAACGGGAAGCAAACGATTGACAATTAACTCATTTGTCCAATAATTATTTTCCATCTACTCCAACTCTTTGTCTCATAGAATGAGATTCAAATAATTAATGATGACATTATAAAATGAAGCTTACATAGAATTATCAATGACACTATAGAATAGGACATACGTAAAATTAGTGACACTATAGAATAAAGGTTACATAGAATTATCGATAACATTATGGAATGAGGCTTACATAGAATTATTGGTAATACTATGGAATGAGGCTTATAGAGAAAATTATTGGTGACACTAAATCTCGGCAAGATTGTAAAATTGTAATGAGGCATTAAATAATGATTATTATGAATAGATTTATTCTTGCTCATATCCATGTTCTTTGATCTTACGAATATATATGAAAGACAAAAGAAATTTAAACTCAATCATTTAGCTGAAATTGCACTAAAAAATTTCGTTGTACAAGTATCGAAAGATTAATTAACCAAAGATTACTTTTTTAGATTCTTACTGATCCACTTATTTTATTTTGTGATGAGCCAACATCTGGCTTGGATTCTTTTATGGCCGTACAAGTTGTGCATTGCTTGAAAGAAATGGCCAAAAAAGGGAAAACAATAATTACAACAATTCATCAACCATCCAGTCAAGTATTCAACATGTTTGACAAGTTTGTCTTAGTGAAGCTTATAATATCTTCAATTTATCATTTGCTAATAAAAAGTTTTGTGAAATTTCTAGAATGTATGCATGAAATTAACTCAAATTATGAATTTAAATAACTGTCATCGTTGATAACAAAAGCATTTAGAATATTTGAATAACTTTTGGATCTATAGATTTCCATTAATTTAGATTAATTAACTGATTGACTTCTTTTTAAGAGTTGAAAATTTGATGAACTCATAACTTTAAAAAAAATGTATATATCTCCTTAATAGATAAATGAACTCATCGGGTCAACTTTTATCAACCCTTATCAATTTAAGGAGACATTTTAGGATAAATCAATCAGCCGATATAACAGCAATTTTAGCACTACCGTAGAATATGGCTTTTGATATTTCAGCGTATGTTTTATGTCAATGGGGAAAGTTGCATATTTTGGTCCGGTAACTGAAGTGTGCAATTTTTTTAAAAAGTTTGTCCCATTCTTTCTTATCACCAATTATCTTATCATTCTTTCCTCTTTCTGTTACTCTAAGATAATTTCAATACTTTCCATTTTCATCAATTTTATCATGGTAAATACTATAATTTGATATGAGATCTTCCAGGTTGATTCTTGGCTTCTAAACCGGTTTATGTATGGTTTCTGACTGGAAGCATTTGTTTTTTAAGATAACATATCAGATGATATGAGAAATCATTTGTGTGTTTAGCATAGGGTTTGCTTGTCCTGAAACGTATAATCCAGCGGATCATATTATTAAAATGCTTTCTGTTACGCAAGATGAGCAGGAATGTCAAGCACGAGTGGATGTAAGTTTGTCTTAATTCCATTTTAAGGTTAAACCAGTTTAAAGTTGAATTCACAAGCTACAAAAAAGTGTGACATCGATGAGGACAATTCACTTATTTTGCTTACTTTTCTTGTACTTTAAACAACACTTCTTGGCAATATTTTTTCCAGGATAATTTCTTTTTCATTTCAAAATAAGAATATTTTTTAACACTCAAATGGAAAATTTTTTTGTTATCAAAATTCAAAAGACGTAATCTTTGAATTTGATTTGCATCACAAACGATACTTGAACTTTCATCTTTGACTTTAACATTCCATAAATTTCAACTAATTCAAAAGTACATAATTTTTCTTTTTCTATTTTTTTGCCAAATAGGAATTTAAAAAATACATTTAAATCAGTTCGTATGAAATTCGTAATAAATTTTTATAGAAAATTCGAAACGAATTTGAGGAGTCAACATTTGGTATGACATTACAACGAAAGTCACGTGGCCAAGGTTTACCATTGAAAGTGATCGGAAAT